TGTAATGTGTATGGTGATGCACATTTTGTAAAGTTTTTTTACCTCTTCTGTTTTGAGACCTGTAGCCAACACAGTTTAACCTTCCTTTTTGAGTGCTCTTACATGAACTTAATAAAATTACAGGATGTTTGTTTTTGTGGTGGTGTTCCCTTTCTGCTGTATTGCTTGATGATACTGTCTAGGGTTTACTCTTCAGAGGAAGGATAGCACATCAAATTCATTTTCAATGTAGTAGACACACAAGTTTTCATTCCTAATCTAGTCTTCTAAAACCCCGCTGGTTGTTAGTGCTTTTGACTTAAGTGAACGCTGTATCGTGTTAGTAAACCAGATTATATGGCTTCTGTCATTTAGTGTTCTCTCTACTGAGAATTCTCAGTCATTCTTAGCTATGGAAAGTATTCTCAGTTTCTAAACATTGATCCATAACACTGTGTTTCCACAGTAGAAATAGCCTTCAAGTGGCATCGAGAATGACAAAAAATGTTTCCTGCTGGTTTTCTCAGACATTAGTCATTAAATTCTTAATTTTTTTTCAGATGTTCTTGAAGCAGATAGGTCATCTGGGTTAGCTGAGACAGTGATACATTCTGAAATAGGCATTTATTTTCTTTTATTTTTCTTGAGGAAGATCAAAGATCCCTGCATGTATCTTCAGTTCTGCAGCCTTACCTAGAAGAGAGAAAACTGCTTTGAAAATGTAGATTAAAATTTACTCATGAGTTGTATAATACTACTGAACTAAAACAAGTTCATTCTGTAATTTGCTTTTTGAGGCAGTTCAGCAACTATGATTGCATACAGCAGAACAAAAAATGCCAAAGTCCTATCTGAGAGGAGCTGTATGTCTGTTCTGGAAGCTTTAATAATTGTGTTGGTCAGCTCTCATTAGTTCTGTGTAGAGATGGATAGGAGTTCAAGCTAGACTTGAGAAGAAACCTTCTGAACTCGAGGATTAGGAGCAGTGTTGACTGGCAAAGAAAGACAAGCAAATCCAAGCAAGTCATCTATATGGGATTAGTATACCCTTTCACCTACTTCAGTTTACGTTATACGAGTTTGTCTAATAATTTTGAGCAGTTATATTTCAATTAAAGAAGTGACACCATTTGTTCAGCCTTATCGTCATGCAGACTGCCTTTTAAAATAGTTTGCAAGGATGTCTTGCCTCGCTGATGCTGAACTGAAGGGTAAAGGTGCCCCAAAGGAATCTGCCTTGTTCCAGTATTGTTTTTCAGTGTGTCTTTTAGGCAGTTAGAAAAGTTTTATTACAAGTTACTCTAACTTATTCCCTATTCATCTGCTCAAAAATCTCTTGTAAACTCATTTCCCGATTGAATTGATTAACTTTGAGTAGATCAGTCACAGAAAACTAATGAGTAACCAATAAAAGTGCAATACCCTGTCAGGATCTAGCAAAAGATATTATTAGTTCTCTCAGCATCTGCCATTTTTTATGTATTGTATTGATTGTTGCAGTGATTAATGCCAAATTCTCTCTGTGAATAATAATTTAATTCCCTTGTAAGTTCATTTTAAATGCACTTTTCTACTCAGCTGCTGCTGCTTCTGTTTTCAGAGCTTTGTTCTGTCTCTTGTACATTGTGTTTTGTGTATTTTGAGGTTTCATGTCTTCCTGTACTTGGTTATAAAACAATGTTTTGAAGACTTGTCAGTGTCTCAAGAGATGGGGAAAAAAAAGGTCCTTTTTTTCCTACCCTCCCCAGTTAAATAATTTTTCTCATTCTGAAGATCTTTTTTTTTTCTTGCTGCGTCAGGAACCATCTGTCTGTACTTTATCCATTTCAAAATAAAAATTCATACATAAAGTGGAATTCTTCACCATTCCACTTAACCTTGATTCTTCTGATCATTTGGCATTTTCTTGATCTGTAATGAAGAAACTTAATGTGTTGCCACTGTCATCACACCCTCCCTTTCCTGCTCCTCCTCCACAAGCATGGGAGAGGTTTGGTGGAGTCAGAGCAGGGAACATTGATCTGTTTAGCATGACATCACTTCCCACTAAAGTCAACTCTGTAAAAGAAAAAAGAACATTAAAATTTGAATCTGAGAAGCGTCACTCCACAGGGAAGAAACTGTACCATTTGACTGTTGTGTGCATACATACATAAAGAAATACCAGAGCATTTGTAATTAACTGCTTCTCTTGCTCAGGAGAGGCAAGAACATTTCCAGAAGATTGTCTTGGAAGGCACAGAAAGAATGGAGGATCAGGTAAGGACCATCTGGTTGATGGATATGGCACGCCATCGCAAAACTATTTGACTTCATCTGGTGACTTTAGAAGTTGGTGCTGCTTCTTATTTTTGGGATCCAGGAAGATACTTTGGACTGGTTGATGACGTGTCATGCATAGGAGGCCAAGTTTCTGAACACAGGATGATGGGAGCTGTGATCAAGTTGAAGGAAAATATATTTCATCACTTTATGGGTGAAGTGGAAATCTCTGAAGAATATTACCTTTCAGAAAACCAAAGTCATTTACTTAACTTGCAGCTCTGTAAAGGTAGTATCTTCCAAAGATTCATGCTGGCCTCCAAGGTTGATTTTTCACTAGATTAGGTCACCTTCTTGAGTTACAAACAGTCAGATATGTTGGAATGTGATTGGAGACCTAATGGATAAGACTGTGAAAAGAATTTGATTTCTGAATCTGTAAGTGTGAAATTGTGGTTGCAGTTTCATGTGATAGGTAAGTCAGAGAAGTATTTTTGTATGTTAGTAACTAATATGCCTGACGTTGTTAAAACATCAGATTTAGATATAAAATTCTTAACAGTGATTGCACATGATATGGTATGATCGAATTACCTCACTCCAAATACTTCTTTTCTAGGTCAATCACAACTGATTGTGAAAATTAACATAGGACCCTGGAAATAGATTTTAGACATGATGTTGAGAAGCCAAGTATATGTTTCAAGTTGATAATTATTGATGAGCAAAGCCCAAGAAGCCTATGCATCAATTTCTGCTCATGCCACCCTTCCAAACAATAGGAAGTTGAGGATGTTTTGCATGTTATGTTGCAAGTTCACTTTAGTCATCACTTCTAATACTGCCCAGTGTGCTTTTAAGCATTTTTTTTTATTGTGCAGGGCCAGAGCATCATTCCAATGCTGACAGGAGAAGTCATTCCTGTAATGGAACTCCTTTCATCTATGAAATCTCACAGTGTTCCAGAAGAAATAGATGTAAGTCTTGTTTTCTTTGCATTCTGAGTTAAAAAAGATGCTTTGGTTGGCCCTCTGGTTTGGTACTCATTTTGCCAGAGAAAATACCCCTGTTGTCTTAAATTCTTTTACACTTCTGTTTCACATCAAGTTCTCCTAAGTGGTGTAGGAATGGCAGTGTTTTTTATGGTCAGCACTTAGCAAAATTTACTGCATAGAGTGATACCATTTTAAGACTGGAAAGGCTGTTTGAAGCAAAACAAAACAAATGGGGAGATAGATGGGTTTGATGTTGATACCTGTTTCAGTGTGTTTTAGTGTTTTCATGGAAGAAGTAAGTGTGATCTTGCATACACTAATTTAAAGTATTCTGAACAAGGTTATAGGGAAAAAACCAACTAGGAGGAACGTGACTTGTGACTGGTGAAGAACATTTAATACAAGTGACTTTCTGATTTCAAAATGCTTTGTCTGAAATCAGAGGGCTCTTTTAAGATTGTGCTTTTTGGGGAAGTCTTACAGCTTAGCTTAAATAGTTCCCAAACAGTTCCTACCTATAATTAGAAGAGAAAATCAATTAATTGGAAAGTGTTTCAGATCCTTGTCTAACTTTCATTTATATTTACTTGCATTTCAGATAAGTGACACAGTGCTAAATGATGATGACATTGGGGATAGTTGTCATGAAGGCTTTCTCCTCAAGTATGAAATTCAGTTTTGATTTATGCTGTAGTAAAATGGTTTAAACGTTTGTGTACATCTGTGTGTGCATGTGAACATGTATTGTAGTAGTTTTCTTCATAGGAGAGGTACAATGACATGTATTTGGCCTTTTGAGATTTTTGTCTATAAAATGTTATAAAATCTTCTGTTTTTTTAGAAGAATGGTTCTGGTCTAATAGCTGCATTGCTATAGATTGTGTTGTCACATAATTATTCATTTAATAATAGGACTCCTATCAAATATAATTTTTCTTTGATACTGCTATTTCATTTTATGAGAATATAAGTTGAAGTCTTACATTTTTTATGAAATAGCAAAGATCCTGGGTTGTGTTCACTGCAGAAACTATAAATAAGAGTCATAAATGGTATGACATTTAGAATGTTTATTATTGAAATGTATATTTCTCCCTTTTCCCCATTTTTAATGTTTAAATGGAAGTAGTTGAACTTGGGAGTAACTTGGTCTCTTCTTGTGGGAAAGCATCTTTAATAGGTTTCAATTGATGTTCTGTAGCATTTCATAACATTTCATGTGCAACTGCATTCATTTATGTAGTGCTTAGTGCCATCTGTTTACACAGCATCACATATATGCTTTCAGTACTAGAGTACTGTGAGAAAAAAGTTTTTTACTCTAAGGGTGGTGAGACATTGGAACAGATTGCCCAGGGATGTGGTGGCTGCCCCAACTCTGGCAGTGTTTAAAGCCGGACTGGATGAGGCGTTGAGCAACCTGATGTAGTGAGGAGGTGATCCTGTCCATGGCAGGGGCTTGGGACTAGATGATCTGTAAGGTCCATTCCACCCCCTAAATTCTATGATGCTATGAAATTCTTGAGTCAAATTAACTAAGTCTTCACAATAATGTGGTATTTAGTTCCATAGACAATTTGGAAACTAATGAAGTTAATTTTATGGAATGGATTTTTGCAAACAACTAGACCCATTGATTCTACAGTGATTAGCTAGTCTTATCCCAGATGGAGATTTACTGAGCAGGTAGTAGGCTGTAGTGTGTCAATTATCTCTTCTTGCTATTTCTTCTCCCTGGAAGTTTTGTTCTGAAAAGGCTAACTTGACCATTCATGTGAAGGGTCCAAATGTTTGCTTTTTAGCTTATCTGTAAAGCTTACCAGCAAATCTAGGTTCAGATTTCAAGTCTTAAATATAGTGCTGTATGGATTTATAATCATCATTAAATAAAAATACGATTAAACTAAATAAACTGTCATATCAACATTACCAGCCTCTAAAACAAGCAATTGTGCTGTTTTAGTAACTTCTAAATGAAACCGAAGGTCTGTTTTAGTGCCAAAGGATGCATTCATAAGTATTCAGGTGGCCTTAAATTTAACTCTTGGAATGTACTCGATAAATAGTAGCAGGTTTACTACAGAGTCCACCTGTAGGATTTCATAGTCTGAGTATTTCTATCATAGTCCTTATTAATTAGTGGTATTTATTACAACCAGTTTAATTACAAACAGTGCATTGTACAGTAAGATAGCATAAATGTACTTCTGTATATTCACAGATGTTGGAGAAAAAATTTCAATAGTATCTCAAGTTGCTATGTTATCTAGGCTTTTTGAAACTGTTGGCTGGGTGTGGGTTTGAGAAGATGCAGGGGGAAAGGGATGATAAGAAACCTCAACAAAGTTTCTTTAGTACAAGTTAAGAGTTGTCAAGGTTAGTCCAAACTTAAGGCAAACTAAATCAGATCTGTGCTGCTGAAAACTCACAAGACAAGATCACTCAACTTCCAGCATGCCTGTATGTATTCTGAGGGACTCAAGTTTGTGACGTGCTCTTGCCCATGTAGTTACCAAGAAGAGAACAGCTTACCTGCCACGTCTACCAAAACTAACTTCTGATCTATAGTTTCAGAAAATGAGGGTAATTGTAGACTAGATCTTCCATCAAATGCTTTCAGATAATTCACTATCAATATGTCTTCTGTTACTTTAGATGAATTACTTTGTACAGATTCTGTAATACACTTAGATAGTAGCAGTAGCTGATCTTTGTTGGTCCCCTAACTGGTGTTGGGAGGTTCTGAGTGACAGTATTTTTATTAAAGAAAATGAAAATGTAGAAACTTTAACTCTTGGATTTCAGCAGTAACCTACATAGCTGTGTAAAGTCCTGTCGTCAGGGGTCTGTAGGCTGTATTTATACTCGGAGCACTTTATTCTTCTTGTGAAGATCATAATTGTTGTATTGGAGGAGTGTGATTAAATATATTAACCTATGTTTGTTTTTACTTGCAGTGCAATTAGTTCACACCTGCAGACCTGTGGTTGTTCTGTAGTCGTAGGAAGCAGTGCAGAAAAAGTTAATAAGGTAACATACTTTCTAATAAACCAAACTTATATGCTGATTATTAGGAGTGTTAGTGTGTTACTTGGAACAAAGTTTATCTATAAATATACTTGAGGTTGAAGAAGAAAGGAATATTTTTGACTGGCTATCTTCAGCTGACTGGTCTAGCAGATGATAATTCTCCCTGAAAATTGCCTTATTGGCTGTATTCTGATAATAATTCTGATAATAATAAGAAAATTAATATGCTTAATTCATACTGTATATAAATGAGTTGTAAATGAGTCTGAGCTTTTAAAATTAGGTTTGTTAGCTGAAATACACAAGGAGACCTGAACTGGCTTGCTCATTTCAGCTTTGTCAGTGGGTACTGTCTGTATACTCTTAGACAATTAGTATCTCCATAATTTCTCTTACCCTGACAGTAAATGTACTTCTGCATCATGAGCTCCTTCTGTTTCATGGAACCTGTGTGTATTTCTTCAATGTGAAATAGAAATTAGTAAGAGTGGGCCTGCTGAATATATTGTCTATTAATTGTAGACTATATATATGATATGTTTTATAGTATGTAGGGCTCCTTGCCATAATGAAATATAACAGATTTTAAAAAAGCTGAAGGCATCTTTAGTAAACCTGTCTTTTGAAATAAAGAGTTTATTGTATTTTACAAAAATCGGGGAGGAGGGAGAATGCATTGTTTCATGTGTATTAGCAGCAATGGTAAAGCACCTCTGATCATGTTAACTGTAAATGCTGATACTCCCAAGCAACAAGGAGACCAGAGAAAAGAAAACTCTCAGATCTTAGCTGAAATCAGCTAACCACAGTTAATATGTATTGTTCCACAGAAGTAAGATTTACACACAGTTAAGTTACTGGAAATGATATATATTTAAGAGGAATGTTACCATATACACACATATATGATATATAATATAAGAAATGTTAAATGCTTAAGTGTTTATAAAGAACTTATGGAACATGAAATTATTAATAAAGAGGATTAAGGTCTAAATGGTTATGAATATGTAAAATAATGTATTGCTAAGGCACTATAGGAGAATACAGTGTAAAACAATGTTAGTTTAAAGATACATCCGGGGTAAATTTCATAAATCAATTCTACACATGTTCTTATCAGCAGCAACCTCCTCATGTTGCGGTACAACTGTTCTGAAGTAATTGCTTTCTTAATGGCACCCTTGGAGTGCCATTCTTAATGGCCTGCCTTGGAGTAAAAAAAACACCACCTGTGGCATCTTGTGGCAAAAAGCATCAGTCAGAAAGTGTGTTGTCATTGCTTTAGGTACTGCATAAACACATTATGCAAGGGTAGAGCCTTTTCAAAGACACGCAGAGACAGATATACACCATGGGTTACTGAAAGATTAGTAGAATGGAACACGTGTTTGGAGTGATTACTGGTAGCTGTTTCAGCACAGAAGTTTGAAGTTGGATAATGAAGTACCTCTGTTGCTTTTAATTGAGAGTTTAAGGCAATTACCAAGGAAGTAAGCATGGATACTTATTTAGGAAATTGACTCTGCCTGATTTGAGGCAATAATGGCTATTTCAATATGGAATGAATAAAATAAGAGGCTTAAAAGGCTAGGAAAGCAATCACAGTAACTCATGTTTATGTAGTAGAAAGAGGTAAAAGAAGGCAAAAGTGCTTTGTTCTACATAAATGGATAAAAACCAGACTTTGCCAAAAAGTGTTGGATGTTTTTGTCATTTGCCAAGAAGTTGGGATAGTATGGCTTACATCTTAATAATGTGAGCATGTCATTCATTGTTCTGTGGACTTGATAAAGTTTTGGTTTTTCTAATAAGCCTGGTTAACTTTTTTATTCATTATTTGAAATGCCTAATACAGTCTTGTCAGAAATTGCATTTATTCCTTATATTTTCATGTTTTTCAAAACTGTTCTTATTAATGCAGATTGTGAGAACATTGTGTCTGTTTCTTACACCATCTGAGCGGAAGTGTTCCAGACTCTGTAGAAATGAGTCTTCTTTCAAGTACGAGTCAGGACTTTTTGTTCAAGGCTTACTCAAAGTAAGTATGCTTAGGAAAGTTCTGTTCTTCTGTAGTTCAAGAAGATTCTTCAATGCATGTTTGTGCTTATGATTTCCACATGCATACGCACATTCGTGCTCAAAGAAATATGCCATCTTCCCTTGACTCCTTTCTGGTGCTATGGCTTTCCTTTTAACTCTTTGCATATTAAAATAGTTTTTAAGCCAGTCTGTTCTTTGACATATGTTTCTCAAGGATTATTCAGAATTGCTCGTGTACTTTGAAGCACAATAATTGTACTCTTCCTGTCTGCTTGAGGCTAGAATCCCAAAAGGCATGTAGTTTTTGTGTTGTACCAAAACCAAAGAACAGACCATCAGTCCTGCAGCTTCCAAGTATTTTAAATGGGCTGTAGCAATGGCTGAAGATGAGTAGAAAAATGATGCTTCTTGCTCTAGTGAGCAGTCTGAACTTATCAGATCAATATAATACTGTAATGCTAATGGGCACACAAACCAGGTGATGCAATACGGTAATACACAGGTCAACTCAATTCCTGTTTTCACTGTTATGTTAAGGGACTCATCTGGTATTAAGGACTTACTACTAGGCTATAGCCACCAGTTCTCTCTTTAATATTGTTTTATTCCAGTACAGCTTTGCATTTTTAACTAGAATAACTTTTTCCCCCCCTAAAACAGGATGCAACAGGGAGCTTTGTGTTGCCCTTCCGTCAAGTAATGTATGCCCCATATCCTACTACACATATAGATGTAGATGTCAATACAGTGAAGCAGATGCCCCCTTGTCATGAACACATCTATAACCAACGACGATACATGAGATCTGAGCTGACGGCATTTTGGAGAGCTAATTCAGATGAAGAAATGTCTCAAGATCATATTATCCACACAGATGAGAGTTTCACACCTGATTTGTATGTACTCCACTCATATCTCACAGTTACTTAATTTGGGACAAGAGAGTAAAGGGGTACAAAGGCAATTGGCTAATAAAGTGCATGAAGTTCTTTTGCTTTTAAGAAACTCCTTCAGCTCTAGTAGTTATATTTGTTTTGGAAGAATTTACCAGGTCCTTCAGTAGGTTTGTTGCGTTAAATGTTGTTGAAATTCATTTTCAGTGATAATTCTGACCATATTATGTTAAGCCTGTGACAGCTAAGTGTATTTGACAGAGCCCAATGGCTTTCCTGAGATTAGTTCATTTCATCTCAAAGTTTTTCTTTAAAATTCTGCATTAAAAATACTTGTATTTAAAATAACAGAATTATAATTCACTAAAATTTTAACTTACAATTTCAACTAGATTGTAAGCAGTAATGCTATTGCTGTGCTCAGTTGCTGGAAGGTTTGTGTCCCTTAATGGCATTACCTTGTCTATCTGTTTGCTTTCTTTTCTATAGAAATGTGTTTCAAGATATCCTGCATCGGGATACTCTAGTAAAAGCTTTCCTGGATCAGGTAATCAGTGCTTTTTCAGAAACAACAAGAGCTAAAGTTCAGTACTTTGAGCCCCAGTAACAGTTAATTTAACATGAATAGATCATTTGTTGGTATGGTAGCTCTCTTTCTTGCTACTGCTATGATTCTTCTCTGTCTAAGTGGGAAGAAAAACACTAGTGTAATACTGCATCTCCTGCTTAAGTATGAAACACAGTGTACAGTTTCAATTGCTGTGCAACAGTGTTAACAGTTACAGTTTTGAGAAAGCTACCTGACTGGGAGTAACTTCAGATAATATTCATTTAAAAGAAAAATAATATTTTATTCAAACAGAATTGTAAAATTTATTGCATCTGAGGAAATAGAAAAATAAGAAAGCATGTTGGCTACATCTACAAACCTGCTTTTATTGTTGCTGCTTTGCTATAACTAAGGATATGTTGTGTGTATACAATGTTTCTTTATTTTCCACATTCTTAAGATGATTCTTGAATTTACATGTCTGCCTAATTTTCTGATATAATTTTTAACAGATCTTTCACCTGAAGCCTGGCTTGTCTCTAAGGAGTACTTTCCTTGCACAATTTCTGCTAGTCCTTCACAGAAAAGCCTTAACTTTAATAAAATACATAGAGGATGACACGTAAGTGAACAGATAATAGAAAGCAGGTTTTGAGAAACTTCCTCTGTCCTTTTTTATAACTCACATTTTTATTTTCTTGCAGGCAAAAAGGAAAAAAACCTTTGAAGTCTCTTCGTAGCTTAAAGGTAGATCTTGACTTAACAGCAGAGGGCGATCTTAACATAATAATGGCTTTGGCTGAGAAAATTAAACCAGGTCTGCATTCCTTTATCTTCGGGAGGCCGTTCTACACTAGTGTACAAGAGCGTGATATGCTCATGACATTTTAAAGTTCTTCACGTGTCTGATATTTCAGTCCTGCATAGCATGAAACCTGTTAGTGTTATCACCACTCTTGTGACAGTCATTGACAACTGAGGATGAAGCATCAGGAGCACAGTAACACTAAGGCCTGTCCAAAGCAGGAGGAGTCTTGTTAGAGGGAGTATCATGATTTTAATTAATTTGTCCCTTCTGAGTGCTTTTTTTAGTAGTAAAAGTAAATGTTACCAGATGTTCCTTTGCCATATTGGCTTAGCAGATAAATTTGGACATGTTTTGTTGTATGATAAAGGGAAACATTTTAATTTGCATTGCCTGGAGGCTTCCTTCAGGTGTGTGTCAGTTTTTTCCTGTTCTGCTGTGTCAGTATTTTCAGGGTTTCCACAGAAAACAATACAGACATCCTCTCTAATCATAGAGGTTGCAGAATAGGCACTTTTCAAGGGTTTCAAAGAGTTTTTAAAAGTGTTTGTTCTTATGTATGTGATACAAATCTGAAAAATTACTTTGCTCATCATCCTATTTAACACTACTGGTTCCTTCCTTTAGAGCATTTAAACATGTTGGGGATTTTTAATATACTACAAAGTGCTATTCTTGTGTGCAAACTGTTGATTATTAGCAGCCTAAATAGCAGCATGCTGCACGTGGGAATTAGGTCATTATTCAAGCAGCTTTGTAAATGTAAGTGCCAACCAGGATACTCTGTTACATGTTGGGCTGTTCCGCAGTGAAGTGTTCAGTGATCCAGCATAACTGAGCTCTTTCAAAATACAAAACAGAAACCTTGTGTCATTCCACAGCAGTTGTCTGTCTTTCTGTCTGTAAACTGCTACTGGTTTTCCCATTGTCAATTTCAGTAAGGTTCATAGAATCATTTAGGTTGGAAAAGACCTCCAAGATCATTGAGCCCAACTGTTAACCTAATACTGTCAGGTCCCCCACCGAACTACATCCCTAAGTGCCACATCTACACAGTTTTTGAATGCTTCCAGGTATGGGAGAATGTCTGATTGCTAACGGACATGTGAGCAATCCAGCCTTGCTAGCAGGGCCTGAGCAAGCTGCAAGCTAAGCTGTTCAAGGACACTGCTCCGGCTGGAATGTGAGGAAGAAGGTAGTAAGATAAGCAGCTCCTGGGTCTGGAATGCAGAAGCTGAAGATGGTTAGAGGTGGAGAATAATGATTGAGGCATTTTATGATGGATATGTTAATAACCAATTGTGTTGTGTGTAAGGTGGGCTAGTAATAGTAGTTAACCTATGATAAGTGGATGCTTATAATAGGTGTGTATAAAAGAATCACTTTTGTAAATAATAAAGGGAGTCACGAGACATTCATGAAGATATAATGGCGTCGCCTCTTCGTATGCGAACTCCCACATCCAGGGACAGTGATGCCGCCACTTCCCTGGGCAGCCTGTTCCAATGCTAGACAAAACATTCAGCTTGAAGTATTAGACCATCTCAAAGAACACCAAGGTGATAGCCAAACTAAAAGATAAAACTAATTTTTTCTATCACCATTAATATATTTAATAATCCTGAACTCAGAGAGTTAAGCTGTGAACTAATGTGATTAGCATTTTACTAAATGAAGGGTAGTCATTAAGCTTGCCTATCTTCTTAGTTCAGCTTAGCACATCCCCAAGTTTGACTGAAAATAAAAACACATTCTCTGTTTGCATGTCTCAACTTTTCTTTCTTAGTAGCATGTCGAATGCTGTGGAGTCAAGTGAATCCAAACTTTTTTTGGAGTTTGACACGTGGTTGGTGTGTGTTACACTGAAGTCAGGGGTACATCTCTACTGAATGTTGTCTCTTTATTCTCTTTGGAGAAATGCAGGAATTTGTGTCATGTTTTTGTGTAAAGTCATAATTCAGTATTCATTGTGAAAGAGCTGCACTTGTGATCGGAGAAGCCATAGTTGCTCCATTGCTTACATTGTTTATAACACACCCTGAACAGGTTTCTGTTTTCAGATGGCTTTTTAGTGTTTCTTTCACACACCAAGGCATAAACGTTAACAAAAGTTAGATTCACAACTTTTCGTGAAAAATCTAATACTCAGGTTTTAAAAGAAATGCTGTCCTTTATTTAGATGTCCCAAATTCCCTTACATTTCCTGAAAGACAAAGATTCACAATTAAATGTTTAGAGCTTCTGAAAGATGTGGATTTTAGCCCCAGCTGTACACCATTTTTGTGAACAAGCGCCATCAACAGTACCTGGTTGCAAAAGTAATTGCATTTTGTGGAACCATATTTTTGCTGTACGTGCATGTAGGTCTCTTGTAATGAACTTGGCAATTCAACAGAAGAATTTGTCAGAATTATGCTGACATAAGTTACTTAGGCTGAGATTCTGTTTGTCTTCCTACCATTACTATTTCCTTCTGTGTTTTCAATCAATTGAGGCATTAGAAAAGAGCCTGACTGTGCTTAAGTTTTTACTCTCATGTCTAATATAATGAAAAAAATGTAAAAAACACTGCCAAAACTTCTAATGTAGAAGTTGTGTCAAAATCTAAGGAACTTTAAATCTGCTAAAATTAATCCTTTCAGCTTGATAGGCATAGGAAACTTAACACTGACACTACTAACAGCCAAGCTGTTGTTTATCCTGTCACTTTTTGAAATTACTGAAAACTGGAAACTTTCTCAATTGCTGGTTTTGTTGCACAATAGTCATAAGTGCAGAATGTGTAGTTAAATACATTGTTAAATGCATTTGCATGTTTTGTTGTAAATCTTTCTCAGGAAACAAAATATTCTAATAAAATTCATGCGTAATTTTTTTTAATTGTTTCTGATTTTTTTCATAGGATTTCTGTTCTATATCTGATAGAATCATTGTCTTTTATCCTTCAAATTAAAGAAGAAACCTTTTTTCCTTCTTGCTAAATTAAAAGCTATGCTGAAATATGGATGATGTCATTGATCAAAGTTACATGGTACTTAGTTCCTCTTTCTGTTAACGACTTACTTATTTCAAGCTGAGACTGGTGGTGGGACTTGCTATGCCTCTGATGTGCTCAAATACAAATCTAGCAGGTACTTATAAAAAGCTTTAATCCCGTATGTGAGAATTTAGAAATATATTAAGGAGTTCATTTACATCTAGCAGTGGTGAATACCTTTCTTTGGGATTTTATTTCCTAACATGTAAGGCAAAATGGCAAATTGGTTTCTTCCAGTTGGATTTGAAAGGGCAGTAGTGTTTTAGAGCATTTTTAGTAGCATGTTTTCCCTGATCTTGATTCTTGGTCTTTGCATACTTATAAAGTTAGCACAGAAAGATAATCACTGGAATGTCTTATTAGGACTACAGAGTATTTTCCCGGTCTATATACCAGTATGTCCAAAGCATGTTTATTTTAATTCCAGTTTTATTCCAAAACAGAATAGGCATTTTGGCAATGTTCTTATCCCTAAGACAGCAGTATGATATACCAGTACAGACTGCCATGACCTCTACACTCCAGTTTCTACTGGGAAAACCTGTTACAAAACTTCCTATTCTCAGATCTGCAAAGTCAAGGAGCATGGTCCAAAGTATGAGGGCTATGTCATATGGACATGTTGCTCACCTCTATTGTCTAATCAGAACCTACAAAGCATATCCTTTGTCCTCAACAGTGAGAAGGCATAAATCATACATGAGTATGCAGACTAGGTTTTTTGCACATGAGTAGAACATGGCTGTATCATTTACCTCTGTTCTGGCATAGAGCTCCTGTCACATCTCCTACGTGGGTAAAACACCTTATGTACAAAGTTGTTCACATGAAGTTTTGGTTAAAGGAATTAATTATCTTGCTTCTCAAAGCCATGCTCTTCGTATGCATGTCCAGAGGTTCCAAACACAGAACACTGTGTCTGAGTGTTTTGAACACAGCACCACAGTCCGAGCTGTCCTGTGGTGCTATGTTCTGCCTGGCAGGCTGCAGCCATTGTTTCTTAGAGTCAGAGAAAGCTGAGGTGGGCAGTGACCTCTGGAGGACTGTGATCCAACCCCCTGCACGAATCAGGCCAACTCCTATTGATGTTGCTTGTGGAATGGTCTGGTCAGTTCTGACCAGAACTTCACTGCAAATGCTTAGAAGTGGCCCTGGATTCACCAGCAAAACTGTGGGTGTGCTAATATATGAATCCCAAAAATAAAAGTGTATGTATCAGGAATATTGTATCTCTAGGGTCTAGCATACACTTTAAAATTAATGGCAGCATGTCTTTTAATTAAAGATGGGGGCTAATCGGTCCTTTTTGTGGAAAAAAAACCTGCTTTTATGGCAAGGAAGCACAGACTTAAGGTAGAGGAATGCAGACAATATAAGCAAGGGTAAGTAAGTATAATCAAGATATTTTTGGCTGAGTTTCACAGTAAGAGTGTGATACTCAAAGGCAAATGTCTGAAGCTTCGTTCCTAATCTGTATATAATAAAAATCAAAAATGTTTTCAAATGTTCAACAATCAAAAGCTAATGGATGAAACTTATTGAGTTCAATGCCAATTTCTCTTCTTTTAGAAAACAATCTCATTATAGTACAGGAAAGTATCTTTTCCAGCTTCAATTAAATACAACTAATGGCCAGAATTTTGGTTTCAGTAGAAGCAGCAACATAAGAAGTTACAGATCAGGGAATACTGAAATTTAGTACTGTAGACTATACATAAAATAATTCAATATTTCTGCCAAAATGTTCAGTAGTGTAGCTGATTGATGAAACTGCAGATTCGGCCTTCAGCATTCATCCATAGGAATGCAAAACAGTTCGTCCTTGCTGAGATTTCTGTCTGTGTCAGGCTGCTTGTCCACTGGAGATTAATTCTGCATCACTTCATCTCCTGCTGGCATTCTCTGCCCTATCTCTGTGACAGCAGTTTTCGAAAAAACATTCTGGTAACCTAGAATCTGAAGGAAGGACCTTGTGCCATTTGGTGGGGTTTTTTTTTTTATTAGCCAAGGACAGTTACACTGACAAAGCACAGAGGGCACAAAGGACAT